TTATGCCATGATTATACATAAAACATAGTTGAAAAACATTTTATGTAGGTTTGATGATTAAAAATGTGATAACTTATTATGTATGATGTTCCAGGGATCCAAAATAGTATTTTTGGATCAAGGACATCAAGAAGTACATGTGTATAAACTTTCACGTTAATTGGACTCCATTTGGGCGGTCAAACGGGTGTTGACCGCCAAGCCAACTGCTATACCCGACCGGGTATTGGCAAATACCCGACCGGGTATTTGCTGAAAATTTGCCCCAGGGGCTACTGTCTTCTATACCCGATCGAGTATGGGTAGGTACTCGATCGAGTATACACCAAAAATTGGCCTTACGGGCTACTGTCTCCTATACTCGACCGAGTATAGGTGGGTACTCGATCGAGTATTGGGTTATACTCAAAACGGGCGATTTTGAGTAGGTTAATGTGGGCCGTTCAGGTGGGACCCGTCCACGTTAGTTCCTAAGGATGGTTGTATGACTATAGGGCTAGGTATTTTCCATAGTTAAAGGAATGAAAGGTTAGCCATATCTAGGTTAGGGTTTGGTAAGGAATAAGTTTGGGGTTGAGCATCCTCGGGATTGTAAATGATCCTGAAACTCGGTTGGGGTTGAGTATCCCTGGGACTGTAAATGATCCTGAAACTCGGTTGGGGTTGAGTATTCCCGGGACTGTAAATGATCCTGAAACTCGGTTGGGGTTGAGTATTCCCGGGACTGTAAATGATCCTGAAACTCGGTTGGGGTTGAGTATCCCCGGGACTGTAAATGATCCTAAAACTCGGTTAGGGTTGAGCATCCCCGAGACTGTAAATGATCCTGAAACTCGGTTGGGGTTGATTATCTCCGGGATGGTAAATGATCCTGAAACTCGGTTGGGGTTGAGTATCTCCGAGATGCTAAATGCTCCCAAAACTCGGTAGGATATTATGAAGGTAGAATGTAGCTTGTGAGCTAGGCATTCGGCAAAGGAGTGAGAAAAGTCAGGTAATAACTTTATCTCTAAAAGACTCTTTAAATGAAATGAGTATATATATATATATATATGTGTGTGTGTGTGTGTGTGTGTGTGTGTGTGTGTGTACACACAGTATGTACCATCGGGTGGATGAGTCACACACACACACATATATGTATGTATGTATGTATGTATGTATGTATGTATGTATGTATGTATGTATGTATGTATGTATGTATGTATGTATGTATGTATGTATGTATGTATGTATGTATGTATGTATGTATGTATGTATGTATGTATTATTTTTGGGTCTCGTGTCTGAAACATTAGTTATTCTTCATATAGCCTGCTTGTCACTAGTACTTCTATGGAGTACTGACCCCTTCGGGGGCCCTCACATTTTTCATGTTAATGCTAGAGTCCTACTACCTGCACTTTTGCCTAGGGTGATTGATCAAGGAGTAATACGTGGTTCGTGCTTCCATTCTTATTTCAAATTTATAAACTGCTCATGGATTTTCGAACAATGTTTTCCTTAGAACAGTTGGGGGCCTGCGTGCCCGTGTTTGCCACGTGTGGCTAAGTATTAAACACTCCATTATTTCCGCATGTGTTTGATTATGATATTGACGTTGATTGTATGTGTTTACTAATCGGTTTGGCAATAGAATCAATCGGACGCCTTGTACAATTCAATAGGGATGAATTGTTGTTGTTCTTATCGGGTTGTACGACGGTTGTCTACGTGGCCCGGATGCGGTCCGGGGCGTGACATATGAAATGTTGAAATTTGATTTTAAATTGATTGTAAATTTTAAAGTGTATTTTGAAATTTGGGCATTTTCGGTAGATTTGAAAATTTGAATGTGTATAAATTGTGTATATTGATGTCTACTCATGATAGTTGGATAATGAATTGTTATTAGAATATGGATTTCTCAAGCTTCCCAATCGTGTGTCATTGGGGAGGGAACTATTATGAGGATGCCGGGCAAATATGCCATGAAGGTGGTAGAACCACATTTGTCATGGTTTCTCGTTGTGCTTGCATGCTCGAGATCCTTCAAAAAATACATGCAGCCACAATGATTCATCCTAGTCGTTCTTTGCGTTTGAAAATGAAATTTCCCATGAACGGGGGGAAGTACATGCTTATGCCCCTCATTGATGAGCTAGCTATAACAAATATGTGGGACATAGTTCAGATGGAGGACATGTCGACGCTGGAGATATACATTGAGGAATCCATATGTGACACTTATGGTACTTCATCAACGTCAAATGATGTTGTATCTAGGCATTATGTCAATGCAGGTGTGAATGCAGGGAATTCCTCAAATTCTCCTGTACTGCACATGGTTATACAAGAAGATGGTAGGTATTTGCACAACGGTCTCCAATGGTAGGTAAGAATGAGATGGATGAAGGTTCCCGAGGAACGGTTGGATGTGGAAAATGCCACAAAACTGGCCATAACAGGGCCACATGTGCGAAGAGATCGTCAAGACACGATGGGGGGGTCCAGTGGGTAAGGTTTTAATTATAGTAATTCACAATTCATCTTAGCGTTGCATGAAAACATATTAATTAATAAAATGGATGATTAAAAAAGAATTTGTATAATAGTAAAAATTAACTTATACGATTTTGTTTGTTTGTAGGCATGGAGGTGACAACGACGGCTTCATCATCCCAGACGCAACATGAGAGAGTGGTTCTTCAACCACGACCACGGCGTAGGCGTAGACATCAGCAACAACATCTCCATGACCAAGACGATCAAGAAGACCATGAGAACTTGTAGTCTACCTTTTGTATTGCAGTTTTTCTTGTACAGTAGATGTTGTAGAAACAATTTACAACGTTTTACGTATTTTCTCTTCTAAAATCTTGTATGTTGTGTTCATGTGTTCGAGTATGAATGTTAGATGCTTAGTTGTTATGAATATTGGATGATTGTATTGTGTTTTACCGGTTATGAATCTAATGTTTGTATTCGATTTGTAAAGGGTCTTTACAAGGTGTTTTGTATGTTGTTGAGAGTAGGTGTTATGTATGTGTTTGTGAACAAGTGTGTTGTATGTTTTATAATGTGTTGTATCTGGCTCGAACACAAACAAGAGAAGGGAGACCTTATAATAGCAAACAGGTGCGCTTGGGTTGAACTGGGGCAAAAAAATGCTGAAATTCTGTTTTCGGAATTAGGCACGATCGTGCCCCTTGCAGGCACGATCGTGCATGGCTGGCAATAGCTGTTGGCCTGCGTTCATATGGAAGGGAAAGTCGCCCAACCGTTGGGCGACTTTCCCCGACCATGATTAAAAACCAGCAGTAGATCGGTAAACACTTTTTTCCAACATTATTTTCGCAAATAATTAATTAACATTAATTCGAATGCTCATACCAACAGGCCGTTAGGGACTAGGGTTATGCGCCCTCAAACACTTACTAACACCCTTAAAAAAATTTAATTTTTCTCTCAAACAAGTGTTAGACTAAACACTCCTTAACACTTCCATTACTAACACCCCTTAACACCCGATCCAAACAGGCCGTTAGGGACTAGGGTTATGCGCCGTTCCAGTCTTCCTGAAGTCTGGCCGTTGATCCATTGAATATATTACGAATAAATACGAGATTTGGGAATACAAATAAGTAAATACCGGTTATTTCCGGTTTAAACCGGATTGCATCCGGTTATTAACCGTACCCGGACCGGTAACCGATTGTCTAAATTTCTCAAACTGAAAACCGGACCGGATTACATACCGATCCGGTTCGGATCCGGTTACAATCACTTTTATTTTATTTTTTTATCATAAAAGAGCAGCCATTATATTAAAATCAAGAACACATACAAGACAACCTTCAGACATAAATTACAAATTCAATCGTGAATCCTAGAGTAGATAGAGTCAGATAGTTCATACAAAGCAACATGACTCGCTAAACCCGAAACGGTCAAATTTAGGCCTAAAATGACCGGAACCGAAACTCTGCATGTCAAAAGAACTCAAAAAAATCCAAACACTCAAACCAAATCTACTCGGACTAAAACATAAACAATTGCAACTAAAGAGAAAAATAATACTGAACTAAAATCTTTATACAAAGCTCTTTGAGATATAGAGGTGGTTCCGGAGGAGGACGAACTACTCTTGCAATATGGGTGAATACCATCTCCGCCACAGTCAGAATGGCCAACCAAGACTTCATGATCCAGCCTGGATACAACATCCCAGTCACACCTTGTTCAATCGCCAACGCTATCTCCTCCGACAAAGTTGCAATCTCGAGCGTTATAACATTTAAAATCAGTATAATCTGTCGCTTCAACCCTATATTGACAAGGGCGACGGAAAATCTCAACCCCTACAAAGAGGGGAGACGACCGCTAGGGTTCCTCTCTCTAGAGAGAGAAAAAATACATCTATCAATTTTAAAACACTATCAATTTTACTACTCCGTATGTAGTACTACCTCCGTCCTTCTAAGTTTGGGACAAAGGGGTGTGATGTAGTTTTTAAGAAAAAGTAGAATTGTGTGGTTGGTATTGCATTGATAAAGTGTGAATAAGAATGTTTTTACTTGGACTGTAATTCCTCCCAGACTAGACCAGTTCAGACCAGATTAGACTTGGATAGTTATAAAAATACAAAGAAACGAGACCATACGAGACCAGACCAGCAAATTACAATCCAAATAAAAACATCATAAAGTAAGAATGAATTCTAACCACTCAAATATTTCCAAAGGAAAATTTGACTTTGCACCCCATGTTTTGGGTGATATTTGACTTTGCACCCTATTTTTAAAATCATTAATGTATGCACACCCATCAATCCAAAAATTGTGAAGGAGTGGGGTGCAAATTCAAATGATTTCATAGCGAGTTGAGGTGCATACATTAATGATTTTAAAAATAAAGTACAAACTCGAATATCACTTAAAACAAAATGCAAAGTCAAATTCTCTATTTCCAAATATGTTATCAGACTAACTTAATGGGAGGTATTAAAAAAAGTAAAACTAGACAAACCCTCGTGGCTTAGTCTCTCTTCCTCTTCATCATTCTCCGCCCTCTTCCCTTTCAACTTTGTATCCGGTCAACCTTACGCCAACTAGTGTCTACTCGTGCCGGAGCTTTACTGCGCCCGACGAGAGATTTCACCCCAGCTTCGGCCTTGTCCATGCTTCATATGGTAAGAATGAGCCTGATTCTCATGGAAGTGGCTCCTCCCATGCTTCGCCAATCGTCACTCTATTGCAGAAATGGCAGTCGAAACGACCAGTGGAGTCCCTGCTTCGTGAAGAGATCATTCTCAGTTTCCTCTTCAGCTATTAAATCCTGCTCTGTTCTGAAGAAGACAAAAGGAGAAGAAGTGCGTGTCCGTTTTGCACCATCTCCTACCGGAAACCTCCACGTTGGAGGAGCAAGAACTGCCCTTTTCAATTATCTATTTGCCAGGTCAATAAGAGAGCACCATATATTCGGAAATGGCTAATTCAGTGTAAATTGTAATTGAGCTATTGTGACAGGTCCAAGGGTGGAAAGTTTATCCTCCGAATTGAAGATACTGACTTGGAAAGATCTACAAAAGAATCTGAGGAAGCCGTGCTTTCTGATCTTTCTTGGCTTGGTCTTAAGTGGGATGAAGGTTTGGTCTCTAATTTTCTGTCAAAACTAAGCTGCTCATATTGGTGTGCAAGTTCCAGCTACTTTTAATGGCAAAATTGAAGCTTTTCTCTTCTTGAAACACCAATGCTGGTTGTCTACCCATTTTACCATCAGCATAAGTCAATAGGCTAAAAACCGAAGAAATATAGTAAGAACAGCAGCAACAACAATGATAAGTTATTATTGAATTTGCTTACTTTCTTTTGATTCTTTTTTTGACATATGCCTTATCTATCCATAAACTCTTCTTTCTAGTTCTTGCTTTCTGTGTCAGAGATTTCCAATCTATTATAAAGTTTTCCATTGTGTGGCAATTACATGGTGAATTGATGCCAGGTCCTGGCATTGGTGGAAACTATGGACCATATAGGCAGTCTGAGAGGAATGCACTTTACAAGGAGTATGCCGAAAAACTTTTACAATCTGGCCATGTTTATCGTTGTTTCTGCTCCAATGAGGTGATTATGCATAGGCATATGGGTTCATCACTATCAATATTTTTTTTTCTCATTTTGACATTTTTTTGTTTTTGTTATTGCTCTTTGTTTTTATCTACCACCATATATAGTTATATGCTTAAATGTAGTAGGAACTGGAGAAAATGAAGGAGAATGCAAAATTGAAGCAGCTGCCTCCAGTATATACAGGAAAGTGGGCAAGAGCCACAGAGGAGGAAGTGCAAGAGGAGATGAAAAAGGGGACCCCTTATACATATCGGTTTCGAGTACCTAGTAAAGGGAGGCTGAAAATTGATGACCTTATCCGTGGTGAGGTTTGTTATTTTCTAAAACTGCTGTTACACCGTGGCTCCATCAATATCCTCTGTATGATTGTTTTCCAGCCCGTAGTAATATATCAAAAGAAGTGGGGTTATGAAACAGATATTACTGATTAAATGAGTTTTTACACAAGCGATTTTTTTTGATATTTTTTTGAACAGAAATGGGGTCCTATCAGTTATTATTTATTAAACCAAAATAGAGATCTTGGGAATGGCAGTTTGGTTTGGTTTCCAGGGGAGTTGTTACTTTTTTGGAGTATTATTTGCATCTATAGGGCAACAGGTACCATGAATAGTGAGGGTAGGTGCTTCCATCTTTTTAAAAGAAGATGCAAGAGGGGTGTAATGCAAGTGAATAAACGAGGAACATGGCCGGACATTAATCACATTATAAAGCTATACCACTCTCTGACTCTTATAGTCTTATGCTTGATTGTTCCTTTTTACATCTGCAATCACATCTTGTACCATACAAAAGAGCTACTCTTTGAAACTGTAAGTTGATTCTTTCTATGGTGGATTATAATTTCATTTGTGGCATCATGAAGGTAAGTTGGAATCTGGACACTCTTGGGGATTTTGTTATCATGAGAAGTAATGGACAACCCGTTTACAATTTTTGTGTCACTGTTGATGATGCTACCATGGCTATTTCACACGTCATAAGGTAAATGAGTGACTGTGCTTTAGAAGTAAACATCTCAGTGCATATTACTTAACTGATCCTCACTACTCTTGATGTTTCAGAGCAGAAGAACATTTACCCAACACACTAAGACAAGCTTTAATATATAAGGTACTTCATCTTCTAAAGTTCCACATGCTGCTCTTACTATTTTCCATTTTTTTCTTACATTGAGGTGAGAATTTTCATAACTTTAATGTCACCATGTTTCAGTCCCTTGGGTTTCCAATGCCTTCCTTTGCACATGTTTCTTTGATTCTTGCCCCTGATAGAAGCAAACTCTCAAAACGACATGGTGCAACTTCAGTGGGTCAGGTAACTGGTTTATATATCATTTCAGTTTGTTTTCATATACTTTTTGAGTTTTAGTTTTGAATTTTATACTTTTTGAGATATATCTTTCATTTTTGGACATATAGTTTAACCGTGGACAATATTCACAATCTTTTGTCCCCACTCAAGATGAATTGTATTACCAATGTCTTTCTTTTCTTACGTTAACAGTTCAAGGAGATGGGTTATTTACCTCAGGCTATGGTGAATTACCTTGCATTGTTGGGATGGGGTGATGGCACTGAAAACGAATTTTATACCCTTGAGCAACTAGGTGAGTTGCCTTATTTTTAGTGCTGCTCATTTAGAGGAAGTGGTCCAGCTCATTGGTTGTTACTCACTCTCCCATAAAGGAGGTCCTGTGTTCAAAACTCCACGGAAGTAGTTTCAGCCCTCTATACCATGGGTCCCCAAACCCCCCAGGGTAAAAAATACTGTTGCTCATTCATCTTTCATCTTTGGGAGGTGAAACTGAAGCGGAATGTAATTTATCCAAGGAATTTTGTATTTTTATCAATCCAGGACATGAAAAATATGTTAACAATCAATCAGGGACCTGAAAGATTGAAAATTATCAATCAAAGGCCTAAAATATACTCCCTCCGTCTCGCTAATATTGGGACGGAGGAGAGTGGTGTGATTTTTAAGAAAAGTAGAATTGTATGGTTGATAATGAGTTGATAAAGTGAGAATAAAGTAAGAATGAATTAGAGCCACATAAATGTTACCAAATATGGCATGGGACAATAATAGGGGCACATCCAAAAATAGAAAAATGGGATAATTATAGGAGGACGGAGGGAGTAATATATTTTGATTTCTTTATTTTTTATATATTTCATTGCTGACTTTTGATGATTTTTTCTTCACGAAAGTGTTAGTTATTCAGTTTAATAAAATTAAATAATATTTAAAAAAATTAAAATAAAAAATTATAAATTTGTGATGTTTTAGATCTTCGATTGATAGTTTCAATCCCTGTTCTAAAAATCGTTCTAGGCATCCGACTTGTCCCCGCCACCGCCTAGCGCCCCGATTTTCGTCTAGGCATTCCGACTAATTGGTTAGCCGTCTAGGTGAATTAGTCAGCCGCCTATGGTGCTTAGTTGCCCGCCTAGAGCGCCTAATCGCCCGCCTAGACCGTCTAGATTCGCCGAACATTACTTTACTTTTTAATTTTAATTTTCTAAGCGTTATGCACACTTTAACTTTAGCCATGGATATAAAGAAATGAAGTTGTAAATTAAGATAAACCTATATATGTTTTTATATATACCTAAATTTTATCATTATTTATATTTATAACATAACGAAGTTAACTGATTAGTTATTATATACTATGTATAATTAAATGTGATAGTTCTATCATTCATGTTTGTTAATGTATATGTATATATGTATTTTATACACACAAAAATACAATATTAGTTATCATATTTATGAAAAACATAGATAAAAATACGATTTCTATGTCGCCGACTAGTCCCCGACTAGGCGCCCGCCTAGCTGCCTAGGCGCTAGACGCTGGGCTGGCACCCGACTACCGCCTAGCGCCTTTTAGAACATTGGTTTCAATCATTCGGGCCCTATATTGACAATTTTCGTCTTTCCAGTCTTGGATTAATAAAATTCTTTTATTGATATAACTCTCATGTGTTTTTTCAGTTGAAAAATTTACAATTGAACGAGTAAATAAAGGTGGTGCCATTTTTGACTCAACAAAATTAAGGTAATGTATGTCTGCCTTCTAGATGTTTACCGTTGAGATCTCTCTCTCTCTCTCAATTTGGGTTTTATTTTCTGAGATTTATCTACTAGCAATGCATTGTATTTTTTGCGTATTTTTACATGTCGTATAAATGTAAAAATGCAGGTGGATGAATGGTCAACATTTGAGATCTCTACCATCAGAAGAGTTAATAAAAGTCATTGGTAGCCGCTGGAAGGATACTGGCATTCTTACAGAATCAGGGGGAACTTTTATACAAGTATGGTTTGCTCTTTAAATTATACAACACTAATGCACTTTGGTTTAAAGAAATCAGGAAAAAGAAAAATGTTTTAAAAGAAAACGCCTTTTCCATAGTATTTAGTTAGTATTGCTAGAAAATGTTTTGGACTGCTTATATAATAGGAGGTTTATCAGTGTAGGACGTGAAAGTCAACTATCAATTCAGGACTTGGAAGAAAAACGTATCAATTTAGTACTTCAAAGATTAGAATCTATCAGTTAAGGACTCTAAAAGATAGCACCGTTGTGAAATCCCTAACAGAATTTAATCAATGTTAACTAATTAAGATAGTTGATTAATCTTTCGGGGCCTAGAAAGATACAATCCATGTTTCTGGAAAACAATGTTGGGAAATCACAGATGATTACACATCAAGTGTTTGTCACTCTTCTGCCCATATTTTTATATTGCATTTTTTTTGTTCTTATTCTTAAAATATATTTTACTTGATTCTGAAATTATGTGGTTGGTTGTATCATTTTAGTTTAACATTTGAATATATTAACACCATCTCACATTTAAATAGGGTAACTAAGTACACTTTAATTTTCTAAAAAAAGGCATTGATTGTATCTTACATTTTTCATATAAACAGGAGGCTGTCATGCTTTTGAAAGATGGAATCGACTTGATAAACGATTCAGAGAAAGTTCTTTCGAACTTACTATGTTATCCTTTTTATGAAACCTTGATGAGGTGATCCTTTGATTTATGTTTCAAAATTGTGAGTTCTATCTGAAATATCATGAGCATAATGGAGAGCATATATATAGTCTTACACAACTTAGTAAAGAAATGTAACTTTCTATACCAAGTTATGTTCTTCCACTATCTACTCTGGGTAAGAGCTTACTTGAGAGTTTAAAGCTTATTTAATGCTCCAAATAAGCCATAATGTTTTTTTTGGTAAATAAAGTGAGAACACAAAATAAGCTCTTATTTGGAGAGATATATATCATATAAAGTATGTGAAAGTCTCTATTAGCATTACTCTTATTTTTCCAAGTAATGGCCCTGCTTATTTGGAAAAGCAACCCCATTTTTCAATCTCTAATTATGGTAATAAATATTCTCTTATATGCTTCCCACATATATGCTACTGATTAAGTCTGTGGTTCAGTATAATGAGCAACTGTCAACAGCTACTTCTAGGAGCATTTTTTACCAAATCCAAAATTACTATCAGCATCAATATCTTTTACAGCTATCCACTTTTCAAAGTTCGAGCTAGCTTTTTATTGTGGATCTAGTTCTCCATATATATCGTGTTTATGTAAGTAATGATCCCTCCTATACATTTTATAAATATCACTTTCCTTTTTGGTTTATCCCACCAATCATATCCACTTTCCTTTTTGAACTCCACATCCTTCTTGCCCTTCTAAATTGACGTTTTGAAGTATTTGCATATTTTATTATAAAAGATATACCTACTTTTAATGGTCAAATTGGAAAAAAAGATGAAACATTATTTGTTTCCTACATATATGAAACCCATATTTGATGAGATTGGGAGTATTCATTTATTTAGTGAGGAAATTTGATTAAACCGCTCCCATTTGCTTTGCAGTCCTGAAGGAAAATCAATTTTGGATGATGGGCTTCATGAAGTCGCCGATAGCTTGCTAGCTGCCTATTCTAGTGGTGAGCTCTTCACTGCACTTGATGAAGGTCAACCTGGGTGGCAAAAGTGGGTAAAGAGCTTCGGTAAAGCACTGAAGCGGAAGGTTAGAAATCATGCTTGTAACTCATTTTTTTAATTTTAGATACCTTCCCCCAAAAATCATGCGACAAGCATGATTTTGCGATAAACATAACGTTTAGTTGATATTAGTGTCCTTCACTTCTCGTGCCAGGGAAAATCTCTGTTCATGCCCCTCAGGGTACTACTAACAGGAAAGCTTCATGGGCCTGATATGGGATCTAGTATTGTTTTGCTCTACAAAGCTGGAAATTCGGGTGCTGTTGCATCTCAAGTTGGGTTTATATCATTGGATGAAAGATTTAAAGTGATCAGAGAAGTTGATTGGGAATCCTTCAGCAAAGATCCCCCTATCCATGAGCCTGCTGACGCAGGTGGGGCCTAGGGCTTAAAGCCCTCGAGGCAATACCCTAATGGCATAAAGCTACATGCCTGCAAATAACAGTCTTTTAATTATTCTAATAGTCAGTGCTTTCTTTCTCAATTAGAATAGTACCTTGCAATCTTTAAGGAGAGCATTCCGGTCCAAGTAGCTAAATTCTAAATTCTGGGGTTGGGATGAATTCGGTTCTAGACAGGTAGAAATAGAATCAAGCACCTGTTTTTTCGGTTCCAGACCAAAGTTGGTATCCTGAACTGGTCCAAGCTGGTTTCGGTTCCTCTAAAGGATCTGACAGGTTCCAGTTCATTTTTTTTTTGAAAAATACAAGAAAAAAAACAGACCGGAACAGGTTTACCTGATTAAGGTTCCGGTTCCCCTCTTTAGTCTTTCCCTTACCTGGAACCAGAACTGGTCTGCGTGCATGCCTGGTCCACAGCTTGGTAAACATTGAAGTTCGACTCTTTTTCTGACATTCAAATTATTAGTCCTCCCAGCTTGCACTTTTGTTGTGGCATTGGCTTCAATAATCTTAGTGATAAATTATGGCAAAGAATTTGTGGCTTCAATAATCTTAGTGATATCCCAAAAAGAACTTCCCTTACCTTTTTTGGCAAAGAATTTGTGGTTCACAACAATTCTTACACATTGTTACGCATTTTTCTATCATTTGCATAACTCTTCACCACACAATTTCAACTTTCTTAATGCGTGTGCCATTTGTACTATGGAAGTAAATTATGGGATGGAAGGAGTATTAGTTAATGACTTCCACAACCGATGGGCTACTGTCATGTACCAACTTGGTCCCACTCAATAAAGCTAGGTATCAAAATAATTAAGAACGAAGTTATTTAAAAATAATCTAAGTTCATCCCATCAATATTAAAATATTAAAAATTAAAAAAGTTATTTTTGTAAAAATAAAAAACTTTAAAAAAAAGACAATCTTTATTAAAAAATATAAAAAAATTATGCAGGCTTTTCCTGCAGCCTCGGTCATCACCCAACAATGTCACCTCCAATCGGCGAAAAAATATCATTTTATATAAAAATTGTCATTTTTCTTTGAAAATGCCATAAAGATGGTAGTTTTATTCTTCGAAAATGCCAAATTTTCTCAAAATCAACTATCTTGATGGCATTTTGGGAAAATGTTGGCATTTTTTTCGGTGGTCGGAGCTATAGTGGTGCTGGGAGGTTGTTGAAGGGGCAACAGACGCCTACATATTTTTTTTTATATTTTTTTCAATTTTTTTAATTTTTTTTAGTTTTTTAGTTTTTATTTTTTTATTTTAATATTTTTTTATTCTATTTAATACGGAGTATATTTTATTTGATATTTTTTGTGTTTTTTTTTGTTTTTTACAATTTTATTATAAATTAATTAATCTTAAGAATTATTTCTTTTATGTTTTAATTATTAATTAAAGTTGTTGGGGCTTGGGTAGGGATATACGTGTCCAAACACTAAAGTTACTCCTATTCAAAACATAATACTTTTATTTTTAAATTTAGCTTATGTTTTACTCCTATTTGGGGAATTTTCTCTTTTATTTTTTCTACTTTTTATCTTCTCTTTCATACTCTTGCACCACTTTTTCCCAATACTATTCATTACCACTATTACTCCATATTTTCCTCTTAAATATTGTGACAAAATTTAATGCAATGCTCTTTTAAATACGAAGGAAGTAATTAAAATATATTTTATAGATTAAATAAAGAAAACATTATATGAAAAATAATTAAAATGATCATCTATAGTAATTTCAATCGATTCAACCAGAAAAGTAACTACAACCTTACTTATTTTGATTTTTACACTTATTTTGAAAATGTTAGCTTATAAGACTGATAAAACGAAAAATAGAATCACCAAACCAGCTTGTTATCTTTTACTCCTTCCGTCCCATTGAACTTTGTCAACTTTCCCTTTTGGATTGTCCAAAAAAACTGTCACTTTCATATTAAAACAACTAATTTGTGGTTCTGCACATTTCTCTCTCCTCTGCACAAATTTCAACCATACAGTTTTTACTATTCTTATTTCTCACCTATTTTGGATTTGGCAAAGTCCATCGGAACGTAGGTAGTAGTTTTTTATTGTTCTGAAAATTCTGTCACCTTTTCAAATAATTTGTGGTCCTTATCATCCATCTTTTTTAATACAAATTTCAAACCCACTTTTTTTACGTAAATATTTTACATATTGATTAAATTTGATAAAATTATACTCCCTCCGGTCCTTATTAAATTTTGCAGTGTGACTTCACACATATTAATGAATTAAATTTGACTTTATTGTAGAGTACACTGTTTGACACTGTTTGACACTGTTTTGCACTGTTTGGTGGTGATTTGTTTGCCAAATAAGGCAAATAAGGAAGCGTAAAGTTTAATATGAGACGGCCCAAAAAGGAAACTTTAAAGTTAATTAAGGAACGAAAGGAGTATTGGCTAAGAGTATGTAATTATGTCCATTTGCTATATCCGAGTGAGGATAATGTCACACATCCAAATTTTCACATAAAATTACATGAGTTTGTATCCATTTTTGTACACATATTTGTACCCACCTCATTATTTTGTCTGTGTACACAAAGAAACACAATTAAAATGATGCTTCTTCTTAACGAATTACCTGTGAACACAAACAAAATAGGGGTGAGAACACATGTGGATACTACTACACACGAATTTTTACATTTATCATGTCAGAATGTACATGAATGGATCCTTTCAAGACAGATCACTTTGGGATAATAATGCACGTGCCCCCACTGATATGAAATTGCCATCACCTATGGATCCACCTCTTCGTTTCCTTTCATTTTCAATTCTCATTTCATTTCTGATGATGATCCACCTCTCTCTATAAAACTCGTATTTCCTAAATCTAGATCCGTTTGGATCGGGATTTGTTCTCTTTGCATCTGCTTTGCGTGGACATGTTTTTTAAAACACGTTTCATGTTTTACTCCAAAATCACACAATGTTTTTCCTAAAAATAAAAAATTACCCTAGTATTTAAATACACCTGTTCTTAAAAAATTACCCTAGTATTTAAATACTCATGTTCTTAAAAATTACCCTAGTATGGACTCATGTTCTTAAATATGAGTCCTCTTAAGCTTTGTCACGGGTTTTAAGAGAAAAATAATAGAGACAGTGAAAAAGGTGTAGTGAGTTGTGGGTAATTGAAAACGTAAGAAAGATAAACGGGTAATAGTAATAAAAGTGGGGGAAAACTATCAAATAAGCCCTCGTACTATACCGAAAAGGTCGATTAGGCCCTCGTACTTTACAAACACTCAATTAAGTCCTCGAACTATTAAAAAACGTTCAATTAACTCCTTTCGGTCAGTAAGTAACCGGTTTCCCGGTTAAATGTAACCTGTTTCCCGGAAGCCGCCGTTGCTGGGGTTCGAGCACATCGTCGCCATCGTCGTCATTTAACCGGGAAATCGGTTACTTACCCACTCAAAGGGCTTAATTGAACGTTTTTTAATAGTTCGAGGACTTAATTGAGTGTTTGTAAAGTACGAGGGCCTAATCGACTTTTTCGGTATACTACGGGGGCTTATTTGATAGTTTTCCCTAAAAGTGGGGGTATAAAAGTATTTTGATTGAAAAAACTTACCAAAAAGGGAAAGAAGGACAAATAATTAAAGACGTCACAAAATGGAATGCGAGACCGTTAAAATTTAAGGAAAATATATGATCAAATATATTAGGGAAAACCATCAAATAAGCCCCCGTACTATGCCGAAAAATTCGATTAGACCCGTAAGTAACCGGTTTCCCGTTTAAATGTAACCGGGAAACCGGTTACTTACGGACCGAAAGGGCTTAATTGAACGTTTTTTAATAATTCGAGGACTTAATTGAGTGTTTGCAAAGTACGAAGGCCTAATCGACTTTTGCAACATAATACGAGAGCTTATTTGATAGTTTTCCCAATATATTATTAGCAGCACTTTCGGATAACTCTCGTGCAGAGGCGGAGCCAGGGCACTGGGCCGTATTAGGCCAAAGAATATTTTTGGAAAAAAATCGTATGGACTTTTTACACTAAAATTAACAAAAGAGTCGTTTTGTGCTATCTTATAAGATTCCACATAGTTGTCAATCATATTTATAAATTGTACATATATTATTATTTCAAAGGCATAGCATTTAAATTATGATTGTTATAAACAAAAGATCAAATTAACAAGGAAATATTTACTTTCAAGTCAATTATATTTCCTCATATTCTTATTTCAGTTATTTGAACCTATTATAGCTAGGACACATGGATGACTTACCAGAAGCTGACTACACCGATTGTGTCTAAACCGAAGCTCATAAGCTGAAACTGGTGAATCATTGAAATCAAAGTGAGCTAGAATGATTTATACTATCCAAGTTTGGTATGAAATGATATGTTTAAGTCAGATCCGGTCTGAGTCTGAAAATAATTCAACTAAAAACATCTTAAAATTCAAATAATTTTAATTAGCTGCAACGCCACTTAGGTAACTTAGGCATCACGGAGTAGTTTTTAAAATCCTAATCAATCAAGTGCGATCATATGGAAATATTTTATTATTTTTATTTAGTCATCTTTGACTTTTTCACTCTAAAAAGTAAGCTTTGATTTATTATTATAACTAATATATTTATGTGAAACTTAATAAATTTATGCGTTTATGATAGTATCTTTATTAAAGAACATTTTCTTAGTCAAATAAAAATATTACCGTCAATAAATGTATACTCGGTCAAAATTTAATATTTTTAACTTTAAAAGTCAAATTTGGCTAAATAAAATGGAAAAGTGACAGTATACTTTAAAAAATCATTTTACAATTATATTTGTTTTATGGAAAAACATTTTAAAATCATGTAGTCCTATTTCACATGTTTTTAAAACAAAAATGATGTTTGTACACACTCTTATACACACTTTTGTACACACCTATGTCTATGAAAGTTTTTTTTTCTGTGAACATCGATTCACGGACAATGTTTTGCACAAACAAAATATTGTCTGTGAAACGGATTCACAGACAAAAAAAAAGCTTCACAAATATGGTGTGTATAAGATGTGTACAAGGGTGTGTACATCAAGAATGGTTGTTTTTTAAAAAAACAGTCCTATTTCTTTTAGCTTAAAATAAAAATTAAAAACCATAATTTGACACCCAGAGTCACTGTGCCGTAATATGACGGTAACGGAGAGGCAAGTTAACGCTGTGCCGTTAACACGCAATTCTACGCAACGGAGCGGTGGTCCCGCCGCACGCGAGCCGGCAAGCAGAGAGACAGAAACGGCAGGGATGGGCTCACGTGAGTGGCTACGGGTTTCTCTCAGCTCACGTGCAATGCCTACGCCCAGCAACCCAGCGCCCACAAGTGGGTCCCAGCATGGTCGCGTCACGTCATTTGTGTGTAAAGGAGGCGTGTGTTATTAGTAACATAATTCAGGGAGCAAAAAGAAAACTGCTTATTTAATGAAATGTTGATCCATCATGCTATCGAAAAACTAAATCACTACTCCCTCCGTTCAAATTAGAACTTCTTTTTCATCCGTTTAAATTAAAATTTTATTCTTTTTTAAGTAAAGAATTTGTGGTTCACAAAATTTTTCTCTGCTCTGTACAACTCTCCATCACACAATACCCACTATCTTAAATTGTGTGTCAAACCTATTTGGAAGTTATAATAGAAATTGAAGTAGTACAATTTTGGAGTGCATGGTGAAACTTTTAAGAAGCAGTTTACGAGTAGTATTTCTACAAACACTTGTACAAATAATGTACTTCGTGTAACTTTTACTCCCTATTATTGCTTCAATGGAAAAAGGTACAAATATGCCCGTGTAGTATGACTGTGAGAATAAATATACTCATTTTCTATTTTTGGAAACCAATATATCCATGAAATATATGTAGAAGTGTATATATACCCTTGAAATTTCAAAAGGTGTAAAATACCCCTCATATTCTTATAAAAGAACAAATTTACCCTTATTGATTTTAAATTGATAAAATTAATTTAAAAAATACAAAAAATAAATTATT